AGACTTGTGTCGTTAAAGTTTCGTTGAAACGAAGTTACGGAAAATTAATTAACACGCGGAGACGTAACAATACTATGCATTCTAATCATTGTAAGTAAGAACAGTATATTGAATTAGTTATAATCATTACTGGGTTGATTTTTAGTTATAATCTATATAAGTAATTTTTTGTTAATATTAATACACTACATGGACGATCGTCAAATAGGCCTTATAATTAAAGTAACTTTGTGCGAAATCACAAAACATAGAAGCTATATGATGTTTAATTCTAAATTAATTATGGAAAAGGTTTATATCTTTTATTTCTTGAAATGTCTCAAGGTTGAAAACAGTCGTAGAAAAGTGAAAACTATAGACGTATTTTCAAATAGTTAATGTTGGTTTGAAGATATATTCGAAGGGTTATTCCAATAATATTATAACAGGCTGCCTCAAACGCACTACTAATATTGAGAGAGTAAGGTGTGTGGTGCACAGTTGAATTAAATTAGTTACCCAGCACAAGGAATTCAAGCCGGTTTACGAGAAGCCACGTGACAAATGCAAGCAGCATCCACTTTTATTATTGTACTCTATCAATTTGAACTGAAAACTACTTCGACAAGATTGCCCAGACTGGTCGACATAAGTAAGAAGCAGTTTTATTTCACAAGACATTGGCGTAAAAAAAAAAGAAGTGAGAATAAGAATGAACGGTTATCAAAAGCATCCAGTACAATGGCCTCTGTTCTGATACCACAGTTTCTTAGTTTTCAGTAACTTTTCTACGTTGATGTTTTCACTTATTTATTTTTTACACATTTCGTATATAATTTAATATGGTCGTAATTTCTATCTCTCTTTTGAAGTGCTTTCCATGTTCCTTTAGACTTCGGGCTTACTATTAATTATCTACGTGTTTTGTTTCGTATTTAATATTATTTTAGGTTAAGATGCATCGTTCACGATAATGATGAAAATAACAAATAATTATAGTGTTGGTCAAGAATTTTTTAGTGGCTATTGTATAATTATGATAACGGTGATTATGTTAGTGACTGTGGTGATAATGGTGATTGATAACGCAATGTGGTTGATTTATTTGTTTCAAGAAAACGTTTGAGGTTGGTGTTGTATTATTTGATTCAGTGTTGTAGCGATTAAACTACTAGTAAATGCACCAATGATGAGAATAGTCACGAAAAATGCGTTAGTATTGTTTGATAATACTGTATATGAATCTACTCACAAGTTTCTGGTGGATTTATATAAGAATGTGACTAACCTTTTTCCAGTTAATGGCCTGATAGTGATGACAACGACTTTGATTATTACCGTTATAAACTATATTTTTTAATGCTGTAATGTTTTTGTTAGCTAGAGAAAACTGCAGGTCTTAATGATGACGGTAAGTAGGCCTAGGAAGTACTAAGAATTGACGTCAGGTTTTTCCATTCAGGTACATTCGAAGATAAATTTAAAATAGATATTTCGAGAAGATAGTTAAGAAGATATAAAGAGTTGTTTCAAGATAGGGAGTTGAATCAGTCAGTATGAAATAAACTAATTTTTGATTGTTACATGGACTGGACGTTGAATTATTTTCACCAGATAATTAAAAATATCACCAACAAATGAACAGCATTACAACACTAGTATCAAAAATGTAAGATTATTTTGGTGAAAATAAAATAGAACTTTGATTAAACTTTAATTGTTGAAGGTGAAGACCGTGAGGTCAAGGAGTAAGAGCGAAGCATCACTTAAGATGACGAAATTATTACTATTACAACAAGTTCAGATAGAGTATTATAAAAATTTAAAAGAGGATCAAGAAGAAAGAGATGGAAGATAAAAGAAGACGAGGAAGAACGAGACAGAAAATAAGAAGAACAAATAAGAAAAAGACAGAAAAATTAGAAGATTGTGACAGGAATTTAAGAGAAGAGTTAAAAAGAAAGAGATGATATATGTAAGAAGGAAGTAAAATAAAAAACAAATCAGACTGAAGAGAAAATTTATGAAGCTATAGGATATGTACAGAGGAATTGCAACAACAAGTTTGAAAAAATGTAAATGGACGTCAGCAAAGTACAAAAGAACAATGACAAAGTCAAAAGCAAAGTCCAAAGGGACATCAATGATGTCAGAAGCAAGTTAAAAACAAACATCACTGAAATAGAAAAGAAAATCAATAACAGAATAATGCATCTGGAAAACTAATTATTAAATGAGAAGATTAAACCAAGAATTCAAACCCAAAATCCCAGATAGGGGATAATAAAACGTATTTGTTCAACACCTATTACCATTACCGGTGTGTCACTTGTTAATGAATGACATTCTTGGATTACTCCAGCCCTGACAATACCTAATGTAGTTCCAACATTTAGCTGACCTGTTCAACCTCAGACAATCTAGAAACCAGTGTACTATGATGGGAAGGTGCCATGGGAGTCATACCAAGCTCATATTGAAATAATTTCCACTTTGAACAACAAATCATCAATTTTGCTGCCTATCTAAAAGAAACAACTTTAACAACATTAAATAACATTCCAGTTGAAAACCATAACAACATTACAAGTATTGGTAGCCGTCTTATCCAAAAGGTTTGTAATGTCACACCAGAAAGTAGTATTTAGAGTAAAGTTCCAGAATAGGGTACAGAGGCAAATAAAGACATTCTGAACTTGCAGAAAACTGGGAAATATTTACACAATTATCTTACTCAGACATTCTTCGTGAAATGATGTAACGGGTACAGCAAAAAATAATTTAGATTCGATCTTTGGTAAGATATGAAAAATGTAGTAATCTTTTAACATACAAACATACCGTCATTACAGTCACAGGGGCCTTTACTGGTAGCATGTACCTGGAAATGAACAAAAAATGTCTTTATAGAATTGACACTGATAGCAATAAAGCATAAAAAACATATATGAAACTAATTATGTTCACGTGTTTAATAAACATAATTTTGACTTCTAAACATACTTTTGTATTTTACGATTTTAGAATGAATATAAATGTCATATTATATTTTTAAGATTTTTTCTAATTAGGTCATTCTTTCTGGATTGGCTAGAAATGATGTCCTGGTAAGAAAAAAAAAACACTTACCTTTGTCAAGTATGTTACTTTACACTTCAGTAAAAGTTGTTTTTAAATTTTTTGTGGTGTTCTTGTTTCGACGACTGACGAAATTTGTGGTGATATGATTAATACTCTTTGCCACAGGAGTGTGGCAGCACAGGATACTACGAAACTTCTGGCGAAATTTTTCACTGAAGACACTGTAAAGTAGAGGGTTACAGGCAGAGGAAACGTAGATCATGATGTTGACGAAGATCAGGTACGACCAGGTTTCTTGGAAATGGGTCTCGGAGAAGGTATTGTAAAACAACAGAACTTGATGTGGGGAGAAACTGAGAAAATACACAGTGACACCTGCAATCAACATCTTTATAACACCACGTCGTGCCCTCATGGTTCCGACAAACATTTCTTTCCCGATACTTGGCTCTATGGCTCGAAAACTGGCCTTGCTGAAGAGATGTTGGCCTATCTTGATGTAGAGGATGACTTGAAGAATTAATGGAAGCAGGTAAAACACTGCAAACTCTGTATATTTGAACAGCCACAAGAACAGTGGTCGTGGAAACAGCATTAAACATGGAGTAAAGCCAAGCTCTACTTCGTAAAGCTTATGTAGAAATAGATTTGGAGAAGCGCAGATCATAGCCAGGGGCCAGATAGAACTAATCGCAATGAGGATACGACGTCGACAACAGTAAATGTGAGCCTTGATTGGATGAATTATGGCAATGTAGCTGAAATAATAAAAAATAAATATTAACTCTGCTAACTTGACAAACTACAGTATATATATATATATATATAAGATGACATGTATATCATAAATTATTATACGCTTCCATGTAAAGGTAATTATGTATAACTGTTGTTCACGTGATCCTGTGCATAAAACACTGGTGATCCACATAAAACATCAAAGCGTGAATTTTGTTTATGAATAATTATATTGTAAGGTAGGTATATAAAAATTTTATGGTCACAAAGAGGTTATTTCAACGATTTTAACTTTGTTGATTTAAAAAAAAAGAGCAATTATAGATAGATGAATATGATGTAATAGAAATACAGTTCAAATTAACGGATTTTTTATAACGTGCATTTGGTTGACTATGAGTAGCTTAAGGCATGCACCAATGGCGTATGTTTTCATTATAGGCTTCGGGTGCAATGTACTTAATTGTCCTACACTAGTGCCCAATTACCTTTGCGCCATTGTCCTAGATAATGCGAAACTTATGCATGATGTATAGTCTTCCCAAAACCATTTAAATGATGAAGTTAGTAATGCAATGTTTCACCAGCAGAAAATACCAATACGAAAGAAACAACACAACAGCCACAAGCTCAAAAAACGAATGAAATTGAGAAAAATACAAAAACAACAGCAAAAAACGGACAACAAGAAAAGACAGACATATTCATGGACATTATTAAAAACATTTACTGACTTCATTGCTGAATATTCTAAACCGTCACAGACAAAATACTGTATTAAACGTATAATCATCATAGCCAAAAAAACACATCACACCACAACTACCACAGATAATTACATCAATCACGGGATACATATTCACATAAATTCACCGTCCAGCACATCAACATCCAAGGTGCAGTTGCTTCCAAGAAACACGAGATTGAAGACATTATTCAGCAGACTAACCCAGATATACTAGTTATAAGTGTAAAATTATTATATACAACTTACAAACTTAAAATCCGTGGTTACTCAACTATATGAAGAGATAGATTAAACAAACAAGATATAAATATAGGAATAGCTTTATCATATAAATGATGTCTGTCTGTAAGTGAAATACAAATTAATGCATAGTTGTTGAGATTTAAATAATAATGTTTATGTAACAGTGGCAGGCAATAAACTGTTCATCCACTAAACTTATAGACATAGAATTATTGAATATTTATTCTCACAACACAAACTATATATTCATAGGAAACTATAATAGTAAACACAAAAATTTGGGATGCAGGATAACAAATGCAAATAGTTTGTTTGTTTGAAGTTAAGCACAAAGCTACACATAGGGCTACTTATGCTCTGCCCACCACGGGTATCGAAAACTGGTTTCTAGTGTTGTAAGTCCGCAGATGCAAATGGAAGACGATTATTAGTCTTTATAGATGATACCAATGTAGCTTTATTAAACAATGCAACTCAGACACATACATCGTATACAGATAATAGCAGTGACATACTTGAACTGTGCTTAAGCTTATTCTATATGAGCCAAACATTTTAAAAGTTTAATGTAGGGCAAGACATGGATAGCGACTACTTACCGATTTGGTGTGTCTTCAGCCTCACCTCCCATAAAAATAAACCTCATCGAAAAGAAAAAAATAACTATAAGAAAGCAAATTGAAACGAATTTGAATCAGTATTGGACCAATTATTACCTAAAACAATTACTCATACTGGCGCGAACCCATCAGAAACAGATACATATTGTCAAACAATAACTGAGTACCTTACCAAAACCGTTAAACAAACAATACCAAAACATAAACACTCAACAATAAACCAGAGTTTGCAACCACACCCACAGCTATTAAGAATGATTAAAAAACGACGTCAATTATGAAGACAATACATAGAACACAGAGATCAAACAATCAAGACGCAAATAAATGCACCCTGAAACAAAAAGAAGAACTATGGGACCAATTATGCTCCCAACTAAACGAAAAACAGAATCTAAATAATTCTTGACCCATCTAAAGAGATTCACAAACGGAGAAAATACAACACGTAAATACTCACCACCAGCAAACAATAACACCATATCACACACGAACAAAGACAAGGCAAAAGTCTGTAAACAACATCTACAGAACACGTTCCGAACACATTACGAAGTAAATTAATATGTAACAAACCACTTTTTCCATGTAACCAATTTGTTATTATATATTTATTTTACTTTCAACGTTTGTTTAGATGAAGTTTATATTTTGAAACATGCGTAGCTTATACTGTTAAATATGTATTGCGAAACTCCCGCCTATTCTCCAAAGTTGTAGACGATTCTCAAGAGTAAGAATCAACACTATATGTATATACGTAAACGTTTAAATGTAGCTCAGTATTGTTATGTAAGACTGAATTTTCCAGAAAACCTTTCTACGGCTATAAATATAACCAATGCGATGCGCCAAAGAGAGAGAGTATCTATTATTAGTTCGCTATAATCGGTGTGCTACAAACTTCAGATATTTGAACAGGAACCTTTACAAAGTTCGAATATTACAAATCGTTTAACTTCAGTGGATTCTCACCGGGCATTAGTATTTTTACGAAAACATTACCTAACGTCATGGGTAGGAAAAATATCGGCGTGTGTATTTGATAAATAACGGAGGACAAAGCTAGCTAGCTTCTCGGCGAATCGTACCTACATCAACTCGTTATTAACTTGCTCATCGTGAACCCTTGACAAGATATCAAGGAGGTTCCAGACTAGAAAGAAGACTTTATATTGTTTGTAAGTTTGTGAAACTTTTGTATATAAATCATTGTTTGTAGTAACTCTTTGTAATAATTGTTATTGTAAATTGTATTATTGTGTGTAGATTAAAGCATATTTGTGTCGAAATAGAAAACTGTGTGTATCAATTTTGTTGGTAAATATCATAAACTGACTATATATCGACACATATTTAAATACTAAGTCCAAATTACAATTTAACTACTAAATTTAAATTTATTGGTTAACTGAATTTCAGACTCTTTGAAATTCTACTACGTAACAAAATTTAAATTTATCAGTTAACTCAATTTCAGACCATTTGAAATTCTAATACGTAACATAATAAATATTCTAATACGTAACATCCAACAAACACAAATAACATTAAACAACAAATAATGAAAAATACAATGACTATAGAACACAAATGATGACAAAGGAAAGTGTCGAAACGGAAGTTTTAAAAACAATAAAAGCAACAAAGAACAAAACTCCGGATAAAGATGGCATACTAGCCATTCTTCTCAAGAGAGGTACTCAAAAATTGTTTGAACACCTCATGGCGCTTTTCAGTTTATCACTAAACTCTGGATACATCCCAGTTTCTTGGAAGCAGGCGAATGTCTTAATGTTCCATAAAGAAGGGAAGTCAGCCAATAAACCAAATAGTTACCGTCCAATCAGCCTGACCAGCACCATGGTTACCGTCCAATCAGCCTGACCAGCACCATAGTTACCGACCAATCAGCCTGACCAACACCATAGTTACCGTCCAATCAGCCTGACCAACACCATAGTTACCGTTCAATCAGCCTGACCAACACCATAGTTACCGTCCAATCAGCCTGACCAACACCATAGTTACCGTCCAATCAGCCTGACCAACACCATAGTTAACGTCCAATCAGCCTGACCAACACCATAGGCAAAATTCTGGAACAAATAATCAGTAACAGACTCTCCTCATTTCTGAAGATAACATCTAAATTACCTGAAGTATAAAATGGACTCAGAAAATTTAGACAAACGCCCAATCATTTAGTTAGACAGCTTTAACAAAAAAGAATGCACTTACTTTCGCACGTTTCCTCGATATGGCACAATGGTTTTAGATTCCGCATGTCAGAAGCGGAACTGCCGCGCGGTATTATTCGCTGGCGATCAAACTTTTTGGAAAACAGAAAATGCAGAATCAATGTTGAGGGAATTTTCTCGAAGTCACTCACTCCTGATGAGTAGTTAGCATTATTCTGTTCATTACGTATCATAACAATATGCCTCTAAAAGGCCCAAATCACGGGTATTCGTCACAATTCGCAGACGATGTGGTAGTCTGGAAAAGTGCTCTCGTTCCATCTATAATAGCCACAAACCAACAACCTCAATTAAATATAAGTCATTATTTACTGCCAAAAAATATCGCATTACAATAAATGTCCCAAAAATGAAGTAGTAATTTCTGCAAAAGTAACAAAACACACAAAAAGGACCCACCAGAACTCTACATGAACGGAGCACTTCTCCAGACTGTAACATAAGAAAAATTCTTAGGACTAACGTATGACTAAATTAACGTGGATTAAACATTTAAACAATATTAAAACTACAGTTTGGAACGCATGAACTATGCCAGGAGTCTAACGGGTAAAAACAGTAGAGGAACAGCAGATAACATAATACAAGTTTATAATATATATATACCTCCAGTGATTGAATATGGATTAACGTATCACCTAAACATATTAAAACTAAACTACAAACAGTACAAAACTCACTACTTACAACAGCATACAAAGTACCAAGATCAACATCCTCAAAATCCATTCACAATCTATATAACAAGATAAGAGTTTTGTCTGTACATTGCTTAGAATAGTGTACCTTTTGCATATCTTCACGTTTCATACACCAGAGAAGCCGAAACAAGCCTTATCTCAATTTCTGTCTGTCTGTCGGTAACGCTCGCGGACGTGTTTTTGTTCGCTTTTCAAGGGAAAATGAGTGCACCTTTTCGATGAAACTTTTTTTCTTTGTT